CAGGGGCGTGCGCTCTTGGGGGGCAGAGGCCGAGGCAGGGAGAGACGGCAGGCGAGAAGGGGACAGAGGGAGACACGGCGCTGGGGGCTCAGGTGGAGACAGGGCATGGGCAGAGCTGGCGGGGGCACCGGCGGGGGACCCAGTGGCTGTCCCTGTGCACCCTCAGGCCTCCTCCCTGGCCCTGCTGAGCCCGGCATCCTGTCTGTCGGGGGACTCCAGACCCCGAGGGTGGCGAGCTGGGGCCTGGCCAGGGCAGGCAGGCACTTCACGGTGGGGCCATCTCTGCTCACCCTCCCGGGGTCCCTGGGGCTGGCGAGGGGCCCCGCGACCCTGGGCCCCCTCCTCCTTCCAATGCCCTCTCGCACTGGCCTGGGGCTGCCCTGGGGCCTTGGCTGCCCACTGTGGAAACAGTTGGGAACCACTGAATTCAATAAGCTGTCATTTGCAGGGTGGCCTCCATGTCACTGACTCAAGGTGGGCCTGTTCTGGGGGGAGGGTCCCCCGAATCCTGAGGCCGGGGCCAGCCTGGCTGTGCCGGGGGGCAGTGCTGCAGCTGCAGGTGGGGAACCGAGCACACTATTTCTGGAAACAGGCTCAGAGGGTGAGAAACATGTTTTTCGGTGTGGAACAAACAGCTATTTGCATGTGCCCCTGAGGGCCGAGTTTGCCAAAAATGAGTAACTCGAGGAGAAACTGAGACCAGAACCCTCGCACCTGCCTTGGGGGAGGGGGTTGGGAGTGGGCCCCGTGTCCAGGGCCTGGTGTTTGGGCCCAGAGACCCCGAAAATGCAGCCCCAGGCCACAGTGGAAGTGGCTCCCCCGGGCCCAGCCGGCACCCCCAGGCCGGGCCCACAGGACCCCTCGGAAAGACCCCTGCAGCCCTCTGGGCAGGCCCCGCCCTGCAGGGGACGTGGAGCGAGACCAGCCACGGCGCCTGGGCCAGCTCAGACGTCAGGGAGGGGAGCAGCACACCCCAACCCCAGGGCTCAAGCTGCCGTTGGAGGACGCAGCCATTGTGGCCCCGGAGGGGGCTGCTGGTGCTTGGTCGGGGGTGGGCACACGGTACCCACGATGGTCCTTCGGGCTGTGCTTCTGGTTTGGGGCACTTGCTGTAAGTGTGCAGGGGGCTGCTGGAACGGGGGCTGGGGGACTCACACTCTCGCGTGCACCCAGCGAGAGACACGAGCAGACACAGCCCCGCGGGCGTCTGCAGGCGGGAAGGCCTGAGGGGGCTTGCACAGTCCTGCACCCTCCCAGGGCACCTGTCACAGAAGAGCTGCCCCTCCCGGCCCCCCAGACCCTCCACCTGGACACCCGCGACCCCACAGCCCCAGGCTGCCGCCACCCCAGGCAGGGACGGGGGCAGCTTCTCCCCTCCAGCTCCAACCCGCATCCCCCACCCCAGAGAAGCCCAGGCCAAGAGAGGTGGCCCGGGTGCAGGGGGGTCCTGGGCCAGTGTCCCCATCACCCCATATAGGCCAGGAAAGGTGACCTTGGATAAGGGGGTCCCTGGCCCTGCATCCCCAGCGCCCGGTCTCAGTGTCCAGGCCCGGCTCACCCAGAGGTTTCCAAACGCGCCCGCGCTGGGACGTGACCTCACGCACAGCCGTCCCCGCCCCGACGGCCACGGCCCGGCCGCGGCTCTGCTGCCCCCGTGCGGCCGAAGGCGGAATCGCACCTCCCGCACCGGGAGCCTCTGCTCGGCCAGGGCGCGCTGGTCAGGTTGGGGGGTGCCCCTGCCTTCCCGCATGTGGGCGCTGGTTCCCCCAAGCCTGGCAGGGCCTCCCGCCTACGGGGCCCGGGCACTGAAGGGACAGGGCCAGCGCAGCGGTCGGGGCTGCCCGGGCTGCGCGGGGATCCAGCCCACCGGCAGGTGCACCTGGGCCGCCCCGCCCCTCCGTCCCGCCGGACCACAGAGCCTGCCTCGGGCGCCCACTGGCGGCCACGCCACACCACTGCACGCTGCGCAGCCCCAGCTCCC